ATTAAACCAAATATAAATTACTTCGTTAATATATAAATTAAATTATAAAAAAAATTGAATAAAAAATTACACAAAAATTGAGGATTTTTAAATAGCTAATTTGATACGAATATCGATATATTTTTGTTATGCATAAAGTACTGTATATTGATGCATATTACTTAAAATTCAAGATTACAATTAAATTATACATAAGTACAACTTATTAAAGCTCGATGTTTGAATTCGTATAACTAACTACGGATAAATATAATCAAATAGAGAATACACATCTCATTTTAAAATATAAAAAATCAAAAATATAATTAGAATAATTATCGAGTTCTAACAAAATAAACAATTATTATGTTTATAAGAAAATTATATTATTAAACCAAATATAAATTATTTCGTTATTGTACCTAAATTAAATTATAAAAAAAATTGAATTAAAAAATTACACAAAAAATGAGGAATTTTAAATAGTTAATTTGATAATCATATCGATATATTTTTGTCAAATTTTTATGATATCTTCAAACTTATATTTTATTCAAAAATAAAACATCATCGTTTTCTCAAAATCACATAAGACCATATTATAACATCGAATGAGATAAAGAATAAAATGAAATATTAAAATCAAGATGTAATTTGTTGCATTGCGCGAGTACCCTTCTAGTTTATATATAATGTATGGATTAAATCATTTTCCAACATGTTTTTTTTTTTCAACATATGATTTATTAAACATAATTAATTTATCAACTGAATTATTAATTAATTTATCAAATATAACTTTAAAATATATATATTATTTTACAATTAATCAATTGTATTATATATGCGTGTGCGTGTACATTCAGTAATAAAAAAAAAAGACTTGTTTTATTGATTATCTTATGAGTTTGTTATAATTCAAATAATAATTTATTGAGATATTATTAATTAATTTAACAAATTAACCAATATTCTCTCCAAATTTAGTTGCTAATATATCTCCTTGCCAACCACACACAAGACGTAGTCACGTGCCTCTCACATTCATGCAACCAATCTCTGTGTTATTTTCTTATATTTACGATATTTTCCCTTTACTTTTAAACAATTATCAAAAAGACCCCTTTAAGTTTTTTAAGGTATATTTAGTCCTCCCCAAATAACTAACAATCTCATAATATAGCTACTTCTTATTATTCGTGTTATGTTTTTCGAGCATAGTGTTTGTTTGATTTAGATACGAAGGATATATAATATGTATGGCCATATTTCACATTCGTATTGAAAAAGTACAATTATACTGATATATATATATATATATATATACATACATAACTCTTATATTTTAAGATATTGTTATGTATCTGTATAAACATTATTCCAGTATTTTATAATAACAATACGTTAACCTATAAAAACAAATGACCAAGATGTTTTTTTTACTAAAATGCAAAGGGACAAAATAACATTTGCACGTTGATGTGGTGTATATTATTAAACAAACAAGTCTAACCCAAGAATTTTCAAGCTATTTTAAACAAATTTTAATAATATGAAGAAAGTTAAAGTTTCTCCAATTAAAAAGGGTTCAAGTTGAATTAAATAATAGTAAAGGGGTTTAGGTTCATCAAACGTAATTGATTAGGGGGTGAAAGTGTAATTTGTATAGAAAATATTGACATGGCCAACCCGTTCTTCTCCATATAAACTCGTTCATCTCCATATAAACTTTCACTCTGTTCTACTCTTTGTTATCGGTTGCTGTTCCTCTCTCTCTCTCTCTCTCCCTGTGAAACTAGGGTTTTGATTTATTCATTCCAACAAAGGTTACTTTCTCTCTTTGATGTAGTAATTAGTGTGTGGTTTTTAATTCATTGAATGTAAATCTGCGGTATGTGTTTTTGAATCTGATCATTTCATCGTTCTGATTATCAGATCAGGTTTTTAAGGATCTTGTTCCATTTCTTCGATCTGAATTCTGTTTTGATTTGTTAAATTCGTAAAATGTTGTGTTTGATCGGTTATGATCTTCATTCGATATCTGTTTTCTTTTAAAAAAAATTGTGTGTTTTATAACGATTATTTCAAAATGCTTTGCTTACGAGTGTTGTTGTCTTGTTTTATGTTTGTGGGCATGGAAGTTTTTCGGTTTCTGTAATGTACAAATTTTAGATGTGATCTAGACGGCAGTTATGGTGAATTTAGAGTTTCGGTTGTTTTAGATGTGATCTAGACGCCAGTTATGGTGAATCTAGACGCCATGGATCAACCAGCTCTAATGTGGGTTGGTCAGTCATGATCAGTTGAAAGTAGAGTGATCAAGTGAGGTAGCTTGTATGAGAATTACCTTTTCCTTAATATATGTGTGTGTTTTCAAGATGATTGAACAGTTTTTGGTAGAATTCTTCCCCAAATTGGATCGTCTAATGATAATTAATCAGAAGCAATCTGTTTATCATTTAATGCTCGTCTGATTCCATCTGGTGCTCAATCAGCCCGATACTTCTTTTGGGTCAATTGAGCTACTGCATTCAGTTACACACTGCTATTTGTTTCATGTACCTTTTTACCTGGTTGTTATTTTGATGGTTCCATCTTAATTCTCTTAATAATACGTAAATGGCCCTACAATTCGATATTTAATGTCGTGAAAACTATTGTTCTTGATACCCATTATTTAGTTTCTTTTAATCATGCCTTTCATAATAATTATACTTTTTGAACTCCATGAATGCAGTTGTAAGATTTTATCATGGGGAAAGAGAAGACGCATGTCAACATTGTGGTCATTGGTCATGTCGACTCTGGAAAGTCAACCACCACCGGGCATCTGATATATAAGCTTGGAGGTATTGATAAGCGTGTGATTGAGAAATTTGAAAAAGAAGCTGCTGAGATGAACAAGCGTTCGTTTAAGTACGCATGGGTGCTTGACAAGCTAAAGGCGGAGCGTGAGCGTGGTATCACTATCGACATTGCTTTGTGGAAGTTCGAGACCATGAAATATTACTGCACCGTCATAGATGCTCCTGGCCATCGAGATTTCATCAAGAACATGATTACTGGAACTTCTCAGGCGGATTGTGCTGTTCTTATCATCGACTCCACCACCGGAGGCTTTGAAGCTGGCATCTCTAAAGATGGTCAGACTCGTGAGCATGCTCTGCTTGCTTTCACTCTTGGGGTGAAACAGATGATTTGTTGCTGCAACAAGGTAAGTTTAGTAATTTAACTAGTTTTGAAGCTTGCTATATATATACTTTCAGTTACTCCATGTATCTTAATTAATTGCGTTTTATATTCTTGTTTCAGATGGATTCCACAACCCCCAAGTACTCCAAGGCAAGGTATGATGAAATCGTAAAGGAGGTGTCATCTTATCTGAAGAAAGTTGGATACAATCCTGAAAAGATCCCATTCGTCCCAATATCTGGTTTTGAAGGAGATAATATGATCGAGAGATCCACCAACCTAGATTGGTACAAAGGTCCAACCCTTCTTGAAGCTCTTGATGCCATCACCGAGCCCAAACGACCCTCGGACAAGCCCCTACGCCTTCCCCTCCAGGATGTCTACAAGATTGGCGGCATAGGGACCGTTCCAGTGGGTCGTGTTGAGACCGGTGTCATCAAACCCGGTATGGTCGTCACCTTCGGTCCAACTGGTCTGACCACTGAAGTTAAGTCTGTGGAGATGCATCATGAAGCTCTTCAAGAGGCTCTTCCAGGTGATAATGTCGGATTCAATGTGAAAAACGTATCTGTGAAAGATCTGAAACGTGGGTATGTTGCCTCTAACTCGAAAGATGACCCGGCCAAGGGTGCAGCCAACTTCACGTCACAAGTTATCATCATGAACCACCCTGGTCAGATCGGCAATGGGTATGCTCCTGTTCTTGACTGCCATACTTCACACATTGCCGTCAAGTTTGCTGAGCTATTGACCAAGATTGATCGGCGGTCGGGTAAAGAGCTGGAGAAGGAACCGAAGTTTTTGAAGAATGGTGATGCTGGGATGATCAAGATGATTCCAACGAAACCCATGGTGGTGGAGACGTTCTCGGAGTACCCACCACTTGGGCGGTTTGCGGTGAGGGATATGAGGCAGACGGTGGCGGTGGGAGTGATCAAGAACGTAGAGAAGAAGGAACCAACGGGAGCAAAGGTGACGAAAGCAGCAGTGAAAAAGGGTGGGAAATGAAAGTTGGTTTGTTTTGTGGATGGGTTTGGTTGGTCGGAGAACTGGGTGCTGGATCGGCGGTGGCGAGTCTAAACTTGTGCTGCATCGTAGTTTGGTTGAAATAAGCAGCTTAGATATGTTAGGGTTAGGGTTTGTTTTTTTTTTTTTTTTTGAATTAATATGGATATTGATTAGGGTTTTGATTGCTATTTTTGATGTTTTGTCGAGTTAAATTGCAATGGCACTTGATTATAGTTTAAGCAGATCAATCATCATGGATCATTCTAGTAACCAACAGTGTGCATGAATTTAAAATTTAAAATTTAAAATTAATTTTTAATTGTTTATAGTTTGTTAATTTTATGGTTATTATATGAGATATATTTATACTATATTATAAATCATTTGAAAAAAACTTTTAAAAATCATTTTTTGTGCGTAAAGTACTGTTTATTAATGTATATTACTTAAAACTTAATATTACAAGTAAATTGTGCATAAATACAACATATTAAAGCTCCATATCTGAATTCGTGTAACTAACTGC